CCCCACCCCCGCACATGTCAGGCCCCAGGGCAGGGAGCTAGTCTGGGGGAAGACCCACCCCACCCCCAACTTGTACCCGCCCACGGACTTCTCTGACACCAGCCGGAGCACCCACCACACAGACCCAAGGTTCTGTGCCGGCCACCTCCACCCCTGGCACAACTTACGTTGAACAGTAACGCTGGGATGGGGGTAAAGCGCTTGATGTGGATCATGGACAGAAGGTCCGGGAGGTGGCCCTCACGCGAGCCCACGAAGAAGAGCCTGCAAGGACAAGCCACCTGTCCGAGGGGTCCTCTTACTCAGCCTTGCCCCATGCCCTCGTTCGGAGTACCCCACCCTGGAAAAGCAGGGGTTCGCTCTCGAGAGCTGCCGTGCCTTCCAACCGCCGATGTCTCCACTCCCCTCAACCGTGGACGCCTCACTATGAATCGTGAATGTCGCAGTCCCGTGTCACCCGCTGACAGCGCCTCTACTCTCCTTCAGCTATAGAACCCACCTGACCTACAGGCAACCCCACTCCCCTAACGCGAGGACTTTTTAAAGAAGGGCAGTCAGCCTCCTGTCTGTGTCCTCCATATATTGTCCCTGGGGGCAGCCAGGGCTCCAGAGACAACGCAGGCATGCTCCTTGTCGCCCAGAGAGCTCTGCTGACTGGAAACAGACCAATGGAGAGGAGGGTCCTGCATCAGCAGCACCAGGGACAAGATGCAGCGTGCAACAGGCTTGGCAGGGTCACAGCTGCCTTCTGTCCCCTCACCCACCAGTGTGCCCTCACCCCAAAGGAGAAGATAACAGATAATCAGGGTTAGCAAATAAGGATGGAAGCAGAGAAAGACAGACTGAGAGGAATTCAAATAAATGAACAAACAAGTCACCGTCTGCCCTGGCCCACACACCTGAAAGCATGAGCTGGCAGCATGCCCAGGCAAGCGCCTCCCCCCCCACCCCCGGCCACACACACACACTCCCACGGGGGAGGCCCTCTGCCCGAGAGCAGAAGGCCTTCATCACTGCAGAGGGCATGGACACAGTACCTTGACGAAGCGAAGATGGACGCGTTGAGGCCCCCAAAACAGGACAGGGCCACAGCGATGGGGATGGTCCAGCTGAACATGCCGAAGGCCTGGTCAGCAAAGGTCTGTGGGCAGAGCGCAAAAGGGGCACTGAGCACACACAGGGTCCACCCTCCAGCTTAAGCGGCCCTTCAAGCATGCCCTCCCTGCAGGGCTGGCCAGGCTGCGAGGGAAAGAGCAGACCGTTCAGTGGGCGGAGCTCGTGAGATGCAAGGGCCAACAGGGCTCCTGGGGGCTCACCACGGCCACAGCATCGCTGTCCAGCACGTCCTGGATGCCCAGCACCGTGTAATAGGCCACGTTGGTCAGGATGTAGATGAGCGTCACAATGGGCATAGAGATCCCAATGGCCAGGGGCAGATTTCTGTGGGGACAAGTGACCCGGCTGCCTGGGGCCAGCCTCTCCTGCAGCCATGCTCACCTCCGCGGGGTGCCCATGGCATTAACACTGCTGGCCCCAAGTCCTTAGCGCTGCCTCCACTGCCTCCAGGGGCTACAGGGAGCACGGATCCCAGGTGCCCAGACTTATTCTCTCTGCGGATCATCCCTGACCACAGTTGACCCTTACTATGGTGGGAACCCCTGGGAAGGAGTAGGAAGCAGTGTCCTCAAGGGGTGAGCTGCCCAAGAAGGCTGGCCCCCGGTTGGCCCAGTGGGCTCGGACCTAGCCGGCCCACAGTGGCGCTCTCTTCCAGGTAGGTACCCAGGGCTACTCCCGTGGGAGCAGGACAAGAAGCCTGGGGCTCTCCTCTTCACAGGCACCCATCCCAGCCAACAGCCTCTCCTAGCAGGGGGAGGGGCAGGAGGAGAGGAGAGGGGAGGAGAGCTGGGGGAGGGGAGGGTCAAGGGCAGGTGTACCATTGTCAGCAGGCCTTCCAGCCAAGCTGGGGCTGAGGGCGAGATCCCGCCTTTACCTTTCTGGGTTTTTGATTTCTTCTGTTACAAAATTAAGGGTATCCCAACCTGAGTAAGAGAAGAGGGCAGAGTAGAGGGCAAGAGAGAGATCGCCCACATCCCAGGAGGAACCCTCAAAGGCATGGTGAAAGTGCTCAGTGCGTCCTGCGGGGGCCAAGGAGGGCGGATGGGGTGGGGGGAGGGGAAGGGGTGCAGGGAAGAGAGAAAGGAGGGGCCGGGAAGGAAGAGTCAGTGGGAAGGCAGGAGAGAGAGAGAGGAAGATGGGAGGAGCAAGAAAAGAAAGGAAAATCCAAGTGGGTTGGGGGGAAGAAAACACAAAAAAAATCCATAAATTAACACTAAAGGAGCTACCTCCCCCCTTCCTTCCTCCTCTTCCCTTCCCACCCAAGGCAGCCCACCTTTCCTAAAGCTGGGCGGAGAGTGGGCGGGGCTGGAGGGGGCAGGCAGAGAGACATGCAGTTACTCAACTACCCAAATTGACCCCAGGATGCTCCTGAGACTCTAGGGCAGTGGTTCTCAACCTTCCCATGCCGCCACCCTTTAATACAGTTCCTCATATTGTGGTGACCCCGTATGTGGGCATATCCGCATGTGGGCAGACCTGCCTGGGGACAGATAGAGGAGCGGTGTCTCAGTTCCCAAGACCATCGGAAATACGGTCTTGGGCGACTCCTGTGAAAGGGTCGTTCAATCCCCAAAGGGTCATGACCTCCAGGTTGAGAACCGCTGCTCTAGAAACACCCAGATAGATGGCTGCTCTAACACAAAAGTGTGTTGGCCCTGCTCTTAAAAGCAGCTCTTTGGACACCCCCCCAAACCAGCCAGTTTGATTCTATCGTCTGAGACAGGGTCTCAGCTCAGCAGATGACCAGAAGCACAGGCGGGCTTGGGGGCTGGAGGTGTGGAGACCAGGATGATGGCCACCACCTCAGGCAAAGGCATCCTAAGGCTTCTCTGTGGCCTCTGGAGAGCTTAGCAGGCCTGGGACCCTCACTGCTGGGGGAACAGTGTTCTAAAGCCAGCCCGCAGCAAGGACAGTGCCAGCCTCGCACTATATGAACCCTGTGCCGAGTCCTGGCTTTGGGAAGGCATGCTAATCCAGAAGACGTTCAGTGAGATGAAGAGTCCAGGCTGCAAAAGAACCTCCCCACAGCCTCACACAGCCCACCCCCTCTCAACCAGAACCAGGGCTTCCGATTCCCGCTTGGCAGTCAGCGGCTGGAAACAGGGCCAGGACAGAGCGCACTGTCCTCACGGGTTACTTTGATAACCTGAGCTTGCCGCTCCGCCTGCGTGCAGGAAAGTAGCCCTGAGGGAGGTGGCTGATGACTCATTGGCCACTTGGCCAGCAGCCTGGCCCAAGCAGCCCCGAGGGAGATCTCTTGCGCCACTAACACATGCTGGTGTGCATGCTGAAAGGCCGAGCAGTCCGACTAGCAGAGCCCCCGGATCTCCACGGGCATCCCGAGGTATTCTTGGAGACATCCACCCCCCCTCCCACCCCAGGCCCCGCTTACCCTGGCACAGTTTAATCAAGCCCATGATAATGATGGCAATGAGCGCTAGGACCTTGGCGTAAGTGAAGGCATCCTGCACGCGGGTGCCCCACTTCACATAGGCACAGTTCACAAATGTCAGCAAACCTAGGAGAAAAGAACAGGGGAAACCAGACAGTCACCGGAAGGCCTGGACAGAGAGGCTTTCTGTAGAGGCCTTCTGCCCTGTAAGTTAGGGTTTAGGCCAATTTGGCTGGGCCTGGATTCTGTAGCTTGGCAGTTGAGGTCCCCTCCACGGTGGGCTCTAACACCATGTCATCAACTCTACGATGGGACCTGCTGAGAGCATCCAAGCAGTGGTGGGAAGAATAGGTCACAGCCCTGATGCAATTGGAAGGAAGCTTTGAAGGAGAGGAGGCTTCTGTATTAGTTTGGGTAAACTAGAGAAATAAACCCATGGACACATATGAGGTAGTTAGTTTATTGTGCCAACCTGGCCGATAAACACATGTGGGGTTAACTGAAAGGCGGAGGGATAAATGGCTCAGTGAGCCTCGCCTTTCTAGTTCTCGGGTCTCTTGCTTTCTGATGGTCACACCAGGGTGCAGCTGCCTTAGCCAGTTCCCTGCCTTAGCTGGCAAGGCTCACTTCCTGCGAGACATCCCTGAGGAGCAGCCACATGGACCTACCCAGATGCAGCCCTGGGTGCTGGAGCAGCCGCGTGGAGATCCCTGCCAGCGCTGAGATGTTTACACGCTCACTGAATCGGCTTTCCTCCTGCAGTCGGCATCATTGCGTCTGTTTTGTGAGATGGAGGAGGACTTTGTGGATTGCTGTCGGACATATGGGTTAATGTTGGACTTGTGGGCTTGAGCAACACTGGGTTGGGATGTTTTCTTGATGTGCACTTAACCTTTATATAAAACTCTCTTATACATGAGTTTCTGTGGATTTGTTTCTCTAAAGTACCCAGACGAATACAACACATATGTGTATAAGCAAGAGATTTATATAAAAGAGTAATTGAATATTGAGAAAACATCCCAGCCCAGTCCAGATCAAGTCCATAAGTCCGATACTAGCCCATATGTCCGATAGCAATCTATAAAGTCCTCTTCAGACTCATGAAACACATGCAATTATGCCGAATGTAGACATTGGAAACATCTCAGTGCTGGCAGGGGTCTCTGCATCAGGGTGGGCCCATGTGTCTTGTCAGTTGCAATGTCTCCCAGGGTGTGAGCAGAGAGTCTTCCACCTCCAAGGAGGAAGTACCGGATTTCCCAGAATTCTCAGGAGAAGGCCATGCCCACATTAACAATGATCTGATTGACAAGCTAGACTCCACCCCTACACTCTTAAATCCTCAAATTGACAAATGATTATATATCTACCACAGCTTCCCCCTAGATAAGCAGACTCTGTAGAAAGGCTTGCCTCTCCATGCTGGCCTGGGTCCTGCATCCATCTGTATCATCGTCAACTTCCAGTTCTGTGGATTTGAGCCAATGGCCTGCCATATTGCCTGTTGGCTTAGGAGCTATCTATCAGTGACCTGCTTTGTTGCCCGCTGACTTGGAATTCATTCAAGTCTGCTTCCACCGGCCTGTGGCCTTCCTGCATCTGGGTTCATCTTCCTGCTTCATCCGCGCCCGCAGACAGCAACATGAGTTAGGAAAAGGCCCCCAGCTTAACATATGACCCACAGATGTAAGCCGGACTGGGCTTCCTTCCCAGAAGGAGAAGAGTAGACTGTGCACTGAGCTGCATAGTCAGTGGTTCAAATCCACTAGGTGCGCCACAGGAGAGAGATGAGACTACCTATTCTCATAAAGATTTAGTCCCAGAAACCTAGAGGGGTGGTTCTGCCCTGTCCTAGGAGGTCAGGATAAGCAGGAATCAACGCGATGGTGGTGAGTGGACCCACACTTACCTGCTTCTAGAGCTGCGTGAACCATTCTCCTCATGTACGTTTCTTTCTTGAAATACTACACATATAAGAGCCTCCGGTTTTGCTTCCCAGGAGAACCCAGCCGCCCACATCCCCTTTCTACCGAAAGTAGATGGGCCAATGGACCCGTGAGAACCAGAGGAACAGGCAGATGGGCGGTCAACCTTCACCTACCCCAACTGAGTGAAGCCATGAGTGGCCATCGCTGTGGACAGGTCACGATGCAAAAGCAGCATGAGCCTTGACTCAGACATTCTGATACCCAGGGCCATATGGGAAATCTGCTCTCCCCCGACCCCACCCCACCCCACAAGCCCAGAAAGGTTTGACTTCTCCCTCCCTCACAAAGTTCAAAATCACAAGAGGCACCTGACCACTCCTGGGCCTAGCTAGAGAGCCGTCAACAAGGGAGGTGGAGCCGCATGCACCCGGAAGGCCGCTTAGGCACTAGAGGGGCAATGTGTCCATGTAAGTGTTTTTAAAGGCCTGTCACATGCCTGACGTTTCCACACC